TGTCCACGATGCTTGGCCCAAGTTCTAGTTCTGGGAAATGAATGGCCAATCAACGTGCAGCTTTTATGGAATAGCTGCAAGTGTGAGCAAGCAAATATGAGAGTCAGATGAGATAAACAAGTGAATCAATCAATCGTTCTGACTTTGTATTATTTAGAACAATAGATTAATTCACTTATTTATCTCGTCTGACTCTCATATCCATTTGAGAAGTTAGACATAAACCATAGCTTGTGTACCGTTAGCCCTCATTCACATGGAGCGTAACTTGCATAGCGTAAAGGCCTTTGCACGTAAAAAAGCGTTAACCGTAACCGCAATTTTAGTCCGTAATCGTAGTTTTCAACACGTACAGACAGATGGAGCAACCCAAGTAAAATTCCTAAGGTTACGGACTAAAATTACGTAGGGTCCGCAGGTTATGGACTAAAATTACGGTTACGGTTAATGCTTTTTTACGTGCAAAAGCCTTAACCTGCGTATCACCAATCACAGGGTCATTCTGATAGAACCGTTTCAATAATTCCGTTGAACTAGTCCTGTGATTGGTGATACTCAGGTTACGCTACGCAAGTTACGCTCCATGTGAATGAGGGCTTAGGCTGGATTCACATGGAGCGTAAGTTGCGTAGCGTAACCTGCGTATCGCCAATCACAGGACTAGTTCAACGGAATTATTGAAACGGTTCTATCAGCAAGACCCTGTGATTGGTGATACGCAGGTTACGCTACGCAACTCAGGCTGAAATCACATGGTGCAGAATAGAGCTGCGGAATAGAACGTGCGTCATAGAAGCAACCAATCAGAGCCAGACATTTCCTTCACTCGTTGATACGGCAAGCTCTGATTGCCTGTTTCTATAACGCACTCTCTATTCCGTACTCCTATTCTGCATCATGTGATTTCAGCCTTACGCTCCATGTGAAAGCACCCTTACTGAGTGAATCTACGTAGTTGCCATCGACTTTGTCAGGGGGCGCATCTGTTTCTGAGCTAGTAGACTTCCGGTGGCCGCTCTCATGTCTCCTGCCCACTGGACGCGGTAACGTTGCCGCGCAGCGGAAACCAGAGCACTAGCCAATCCACTTCCGAACGCACGAGACGTTGATTGGCTAGTGCGACCAGCACGACACGCGACGCGCGATTATCCCTTGAACGTATGTACAGGCTTTATAGGAAAGCGTACAGTTTTCTCATAAAGACTGTACGCCCATTGGATTATCGCGCGTCGCGTTGGTCTGCTGGAGCCATTAGAAGAAATTGACCAATCACAGTTCATTAATCTCCTTAAAGCCCGTATCAGACTACGGATTGGGATTGGGATTAGATTGAAATTTAACCAATCACAGTAAAGTTTACTAATCTCAAGTGCATAACTTTTACTCTGATTGATCAAATTTCAATCTAATCCCAATCTCAATCCGTAGTCTGATACGGGCTTTATACGTTACAACCACATGCTACCAACGCTTTTCCTTCCGAGATAGAATACGTTCGGGAAGCTCACCGTCTGCGGTATTTAGGCCCGGTGCACCAACCTCACGTAATTTTAACTGTAGCTTAATTCACTCTTCGTCTCTTTCTGTTTCCCTTAAGCCCGCTGCAGACGATGCTATTTTTCCTGCTAAATTGCCTGCAATCTAATAAATTACTAGAAATTCTGAATGATGAGTGGTGCAACGATAGTAATTTATTAGATTGCAAGCAATCCAGCAGGAAAAATAGCATTGTCTGCAGCGGGCTTAAGTTAAGTGACGTTGGAGCAACCAGGTCTTAAGCCCGCTGCAGACGATGCTATTTTTCCTGCTGGATTGCTTGCGATTTACTAAATTACTATCGTTGCACCATTCAGCACTCAGGATTCCTAGTAATTTAGTAAATCGCAAGCATTCCAGCAGGAAAAATAGCATCGTCTGCAGCGGGCTTTAGCTGTTTGCGGAGCTGCTAGAGGGTAGCGCTAGAAAACGCCACCATCAGGTATTTTCAGATTTTGACTCTTTCAACTCTTTCTTCTTGTTCGAAGTTACCGAAGACAAACATTTCGATTCGTAAAAATGTCGGACAAGACGATTGCATTTTCTCAAGTACGTCTAGCCGTCTTGTGTTTCGTGCCTCGATGGAAATGACTACGCCTCAATAGGTACTTTTGTTTTCTCCTAGACCACGAGCGAGAAGCGGACAACGCGAGGACCCGAGTCTTCTTCGTTGCTTTTGCCGCGCAACGTTGGCGATCCTGCGACGAACCGCCGTACAGTGCCGCGTCGCTGCATCGTCTCCTGGCGCCACCTACGATAGAAACGATGCCTAACCTCAACGATCTCGCGTAGACGTCCGCGACGACCCGTCATCGAACGAAACGAACGACGGCGCACGGTGTCGGCTGTTTAATCGACTATATTTCGATAAGACGACCGCGGCGGCGATAAGAACGGCCGCGTTCGCCGTCGCACAATCGGCTTTGCGCGCACGCATTTTCCCGCCCTTTCAACCGGCCGACATTTTATTTGGTGGGGGGCAAAAAGAAACGCACCAAAACATAAAAGGTCGGCCCTGATTGGCTTACTTTTTGCGGCTTATCTGAAATAAGCCAATGGTAATGGGAGATTTTCCCCGTACACTGGCCGTATGCCGCACGAGTGGCGTGGGGTCGCGATATTCGAAGCTGAAGAATCCTTTTAGCCGTAGCGGATCCCGTTCCAGGTAAGAAAAATCCAAATATTTTTCGCGGGCCGCGTTGACAGATCCGCGGGACGCCGCGCGGACGATCCGCGCGTACGTACGCACCGTCGGACCCGCCCAACGCGAGCGTGTTCGTTGGCCGTAGGCCGCTACCGTGCTGCGTTCCTCGTACGTATACCTTTTATTTCCGTACTACCGTCAGCACACGGCAGCAAATGGCTGCCCGGACGGGACGCGTCGTGCGCGTACGCCTCGTCGTTGTGCCGTCTCGTCGCGCGTTATCGAGATACCGTGCGACGTGAGGACGAAGGAACGAACGACGGCGAGCCACGGCGACGCGGATCGGCTCGAGGAGACGCTCGCAGCCGCGGCCGCGGCCACCGCTCGCTCGCTCGCTCGCTCGCTCCGCCGCCGCCACCGCCGCCGCCGCAGCAGCAGCAGCCACCGTCGCCGCCGAGTCAACGACGTGTTGACGTCAAGGCCTACGCGCGCGTGCACGTCCCGCGTTTTGCGTTGCTCGCGCTTTTGCCGTGCATCGCGACGAGCGAACTCGCGCGACGAGGATGATGTGGCCGTGGTCGAAAAATCAATCGCACTCTCTGTCATCGTTTTTCCAACATGCATGGCGCGGTGCGTCGGGACGCGCCGCCAAGTCGGTTTCCCGCTTCCAAATCTCGCGGAAAGCTGTCAAGAACGCGCGGGCGAGCGAGCGGAGTAGTCTGGACCTCGGAGAAGATCGACGTTTCCCTGTTTCTCTCTCTCTCGCTCCCTCGCTCCCCCCCTCCCCCCCTCCCACCTCCCGCGCTTAGATTATTTTTCTCGACATTCGCGTACGAGTCCGTTATTGCCAGCGAAATAGATCGCGATGCTCGTGAGAGCAGGGCGGAGGGCAAGACAAAATAACAGAAAGAGTGAGAGAGAGATATATATAGATAGATAGAGCGACGGGAGGGAATGAGAGGAAGACGGAAAAGTGTTTACACGTAGGCGTTTCTCCTACCGACGGTGCATCTCTCGCGCGCGCGAAGCGCGCGGCGTAGCGTAAAGGTGCGTCCAGGCTCGTCGTCACATACTGCGCATTGATATCGCGTTGCGAGCGGCCAACGGTTACGTCGCGGCCAACATGGTTGCGACTCGCCGCCGTGCCATATCGACTGCTCCGTCGGCGGGTAGGAGGGGCGGGGGGGGTGGAGGGGAGGGGGAGGGAGAAGAGCTTTACAACATATCTTATTTATTTGAGCGTCAAGCTCTTTATTCGGCGCAGTGAGGTTACGGGTTTGGACGCGGCTTTAAGTGCGCGGCAGCCGACGGCGACGGCGGAGACGCCAAAGACGCCGAGAGCCAGGCATGTCGTCGGCGGACTCGCTTGACGGTTTTTATCCGATCCGCTAGTCCTCGTCCGGCGCGGTGGGTTCCCGTGGGTCCGAGGCAGACGCCACCCCGACGCACCATAGGTTTCTTTCCGCTTTCTTTATTCCTCGCTGCTCCGTTTCTTTTTTAGCTGCACCCGCCTGTACTTTCTGTCAATTCTCGCCCACCTCCGTGCGAGACGTGTTCGATTGACGCGTTCGATCGCGGGCTCCGCCGTAGTACGCGGTTACACTTGTCGCTCGCGATCGTCGTGTCGCGAGGGGGATTCCAACGATTTCGTGTCATTTTGGACGTTCGGTTGTTTGATCCGATGTGTGCGCGGGATGTCAACGACCGGACGGAACAAAGGACGGGGAGGGGGGCAATTTACCGACGATCAAAGCGTAAAGATGCACAGACGAGCGTGCATTTCCAATTTTGCAATTTAAATTAGCACGCGAATTGCAGCAGCCGGGATCGATAATTAGTCGTCTTGCAAATTTCCGTGTACGCCGTTTTTCACTTTGGGTGCAAAAAGTGCAACGTGGTGCAGCTAAAAAGAGCAGAGCCCGCACGAAAAACGTGCGATCGATGGATACCCCGGATGGACGCGCGATGTTCGGGAATTAAAACCCGGTGCGGCGACAACGTGTAATTCCCGCAACAAGTTCAGATCTCGCCGGGCATTTTTCAGAGCGTGGAAAATGTACGGCGGGGTGCGCGGGCGAAATTGCGGAAATTCTGATTAGGAATATTCAAGCCGGTATTAGAAATTTTCGCGACCAAGGGGGAGACACATTTACCAAGATGGGAAGAATGTAGAAAATTTGCACGAAAACATAGACGTTAATAAGCCGGCAAATATCAAGCGCGGACGAGAATGGCACTTCTTTCTGCTCAATAGGCAGGGCTGGGAAGTAACTCGTTACTTGCAACGAAGTTACAGTTACAGTTGATATTTTTTGGTAACTTAACTTCGTCACTTTCTCTCCGTCTGTAATTGTAACTTAACTCGGATACGTTTTTTTAACTAGTAACTAATTGAATATATTTACTTTAATATTTTTTCAGGGTTGGAAAGTAACTCGTTACTTGTAACGAAGTTACAGTTACTATTTTTGGGTGACTAACTTCGTTACTTTCTTTCCATCTGTAACTGTAACTTGACTCAGTTACATTTTTTCGCTAACTAGTAACTAATTTAATAGTTATTACATGAATAGTTACTTTATATATTTTTTAAACCTCCACAGATCGCATTAGGTCTTGCATTTGCACGTAAACGCTTTATAATTCAAACGCAGATTTGATATTTTTATTTTATTGCAAGAAAGTAACTGCAAAGTAACGATCCGTTACTTTTTTAGTAACTGTAACTGTAATGCGTTACTTTTCAGAATAGATAACTTGTAACTGTAACTAGTTACATTTTCAGTGAAAAAACTGTAATTGTAACTAGATACTTTATAAAGTAACTTTCCCAACCCTGTATTTTTTAAACCTCCACAGATTACGTCAGGCCTTGCATTTGCACGTAAACACCTTTATCGACACTTAACAATTGAAATGCAGATTTGATATTTTTTTTTCATTGCAAGAAAGTAACTGCAAAATGACGATTCGTTACTTTTTGAGTAACTGTAACTAGTTACATTTTTAGCGAAAAAACTGTAACTGTAATTAGATACTTTTATAAAGGAACTTTCCCAACCCTGTTTATAGGGTAACACGACCAAATGCGGATCAAAAATTTGATGAGGCGCTAAGAAGTGACATTTTAAAGTAATTCACTGAAATTTTGCTCTTATATATTTACAACTTTGTGCTATATTGTCGACATCATAAATATCAACGTGTTTTTATGTCGCTTATCAGCGACTCATCAACTTATTGATCCGAATTTGGTCACCTTGTCCTAGAGAAATTAAGAAATATATTAGGTTTATCTTTCAGGGGTTGAAGTCGCGAAATATATTACTTGATACTTTCGATCTTGAGCCAATGGTGCACGATAGTATTTTACCTACTGGATTGCTGACGACAGCCAATTAGGATGCAGAGTTTTCGATCAGGTAAACTTAAGGCTAAATCCTGATTGGCTCTCGTAAGCAATTCAGTAGGAAAAATAGTATCGCGTGCCGTTGGCTTTAGTTAGGCATTTAAACGTTACATAAACGTTACTGCTCTACGTCGAACCACACATACTGGTTACTTCTTTCATAATGCTGAAACTGAAGACGAGTACATCAATATTAATACGTACTGCAACGTTGGAATGCCAACGGGATTTGTTATAAACACTTTGCTATCGTCGGGAAATTTATTCTCGTAAATATAAAACGATAAATGGCAGTAGGCAAGAAATACAATTGTAGAGGAAAGTCTCCTATCATAAGATAGGATCCTAATACGGGATACCGGGGTTTCTGTTAAATTAATAGGGCACCATCGGTTGATTCCACCATGAATTTATTGCTCTTGGAGCGAAATTTCAGTTTAGTGGAAAATTCATTGCTAGATTGTGTAATCGTAGCGAGAAAAGATTTGTGATTGAATTTGGGTGTTGAAAACCTGCTATCTCATATCATCGAAGCTTATCTCATAATAGAGAGCTCTTCTTTATATTCACATCTGCGCTTATATTGTGCCTCGATTGCATTTTTTACGGTTTTCTATAAGCGAGTCAATTATTATCTATAACATTTTCACTCAACGTTGCTTATTTACGTCGCTTAAAATAAGACGTTCTTATTATTAACTGGTTGTTAGGATAAATATCACCAGACGTCTGAGTGGTCGAATTGGTATTCCGTCACGAATATTGTGGGGAGATCCAGACTGAAGTAATATTTTTCGTTGTAACTTAGTGATTTTAATACAATGCTTAGCATCAAAAGTTGAAAATCAATTGTATCAACTTTAAGTAAATTCATTTACGTTAGGAGCATAGAGAGGCAAATAAGAGCCAAACGCTAGAAGTTAGGTGCGGAAATCATATTAGATTTAATGTTAAATATCTTATTGTTGGACTTCAGATGTCATTGACAAGGATCACTTTGGTTGATCGAAACGTTTGACTTGTTCAACTGTATTTAACATTAAATCTAATATGATTTCCGCACCTAATCTAGCGTTTGGCTCTTATTGCCTCTCTATGCTCCTAACGTAAATGTTATCAACAAAGCCTTAATATTTACTAATTAAGTAAATTCACTACTTGAACAAAAAGTGTTTCAAGACCGACAAATGATCGACGCATTTCAATGGCAACGAGTTGGAAAAAACATACAAAATTCACGCAATGTTATTAGGCCGCCAAGATACAGCCCCGCCGAAAATGGCGCCGTCTAATTATTTGTATTATCCATTTTGCTCGGCGGAAGAAGATCAAGTTTCGCTCACTTGATTTACAACTTTGCACAGTCCATTTGCATAGTCGCGCGTGTCTCTTCTCTTTCGGCTCCCAATAGGAATCGTGAGCGTTGCTCGGGACACCCTGTGTATAAACGAGCGTCGTGTATCATAACGTTGCGCCCTACGGTGTTTCAAGCCTCGCAAGCACTCGCGGAGCTTTAACGAAGCTTAAACTCGCTCATATACTTACACATCGACCACGGTATAGTCCACGTCCAAAGGAAAGCACACAGCCGCAAACATTTTTTTTTTCTTTACTCGATGCACAACATCTCTTCGATCGATTATCCGCAAAAGCGCTCGGTCGGAACAAATCGCACCTCTGTCCCCACACGTCCCTCGATCCCCAGCACCTTCGTGTTCGTTTCGGATAATCGGCTTTCTGTTGTGCACGCTAAGAATTACGAGCTAGAGTTATGAGTTATCTAAGAGTTACATCACCGGTGCGCTACGAATAAACCGTGCGATTACGCTTTATTCCTCTCGAAACTTTCGTCCCAAAATGCCCTCCCTCCGATAAATTATGGGACTACGTCGGAATTGTTGTGCTTCTTTATTGGTAAAATTCTTTACTGGAATTGTTACAATTTAACAATTTCGACGCGCGGAACTTTTTCAGCTTCGAAAAAGAGTATTATGGGATGTCGTTTCACAATTCTAATTAGCGGCTGTCTATCGCGAAGCAATCGTTAAGCCTGTATTAGTAGGCTCCTTGTAGTTATTCTAGGAGCTAATCACGTGATATTACGTAGATAAACCAATAGATAAATTTTGTACTTTCGAATGTGCTTGCTATATCGATACTTGCGTTTGTCAGTCTTGATGAAAATAGAATTTATAAAGTACAGTCGCGAGTCTGTATTGATTGACAAAGTTGCGGTTCTAGCGACATACCAGGGCTTAAAACGTAATTAAATGTGAGAATGTTGAGAGCAAATTCGAAAATATCGGAGACACTCTTGCGTCTTTTGGAACCTAAGTTTGTGATTCGAAAATATCGGAGACACTTGAGCTTCTTTTAGAATTTAATTTAGTGATTTCTATTAGAGGACGCCGAGATGCGCGGGCAATCAAACTTCACCATGTATTCGTATGCATCGGCTGTTTTTGTTTCAACTGTCCGGTAAAAGGCACGCCGGCGGGGCGCGACAATTGTATCGCCACATGGCGCGATTCGAGGCCCCCGAAAGGGCAGATGGTGCGACTCGGAGGGTTCCCGCCATTGTGACACCATTGTTTCTGTCCCGCGCGGCCGCTCGCGAGCTCATTGTATTAGATAAAGAATTACGATACACATTTCGAAAACGCAGGCGCTACATTCTCCAAGACGTACATACGTCAAAACGTGGGAATCTGATGTGCGCGTAGGGCGCCCTTTTCTCCCTCGTTTACCTAACGGATCTCTGGGGTCTTTCGAAATCCTAACGGGCGATACTCGGGCTCGCGTATAAGAAAGTTATAAGCTCTACGGAAGTCTTATTTCGATCCCTCCCAGGAGCGAGGAAAAACTGGGTTTCCCGCGGATACGTCTCGAGACGGAATCCGCGTTAGGGCCTGTGCAAAAAGATTGTCGTTAGTACTTACGATTCCGTAGCGAGGGCCTGAGCAGAATGGTCGTCTTGTATTCTTAAGGCCCGGTCTACAACGAATTGCTAGTCGTTAGTCAGAAGTCGGAACTACATGTCGATACTTTTCCTTTCTAGGTGGAAGAAAAAGGTCCGTCATATAGTTCAGACTTCTGACTAACGACTAGCAACTCGTTGTAGACTGGGCCTAAGACATAGGACAGTTAAAGTCTGAGCAGAAAGTCTGTCTTGTACTCTTGAGACAATGTTTTATGTTTTACGTCTTTGTCTTAAAGTAACGCATAATAACTGTCTTGTGACTTAAAAATATAAAACAGCCGGTCTGCTCAGGCCCTTATTGTGCGTTACTTTAAGGCCCGGTCTGTAATGAGGCGTTAGTCGTTAGTCAGAAGTCAGAACTATATGACGGACCTTTTTCTTCTACCTAGAAAGGAAAAGGATCAACATATAGTTCCGACTTCTGATTAACGAACAACAACTCATTGTAGACCGGGCCAAAGGCAAAGATTTCAAACATAAAACATTGCCTCAAGAGTACAAGACCGCCATCCTGCTCAGGCCCTAAGACGCAAGTCAACGCACAAAGAATTGTCGTGGACGTACGTCGCATTTGTCGCATCGCATGGCGACATACGTCTACAATTCTTTCTGCGTTGGTTTCCGACACCGACCTGAGTCCTACGACAGAACTGTAAACGGTTACGACGATCTTTCTGCTCTGGCCGTCGGGGTCAGAGCACAAAGCGACGTAATAGCTTACGGCGAGACGTAAGTCGTAAGCGTAGATCACGCACAAGCTTTGGCCGCATGTCCGTGGTTACTTCCACTTACATACGATTTTACATTTACGCCAAAGCTTGTGCGTTATCTACGTTTACGGCTTACATCTCGCCGTAAGTCACTACTACGTCGCTTTGTGCTCTGCCCCTTATCGCAAACGTTACTAGAGATTCTCGCGGCCAGCTCGCGATGCCCGTCGAGCGTAATTGAACGCCCCTTCTCCCGACGTCGCGTTTCCCGAATCGAACATTTTGTATCATATTTTCGAAGCCACGCTCGGCGCATTTCGGACGGCGCTCGGCGACGCGGCGGTACGACCCGTGTGTGGAATCGGCCGGCCCGAACCGGACCGGCCGTTGTTGGGCCGTACCAACATGATCGGGGAATTCGGACTTCCCGTCCGGCTGCTCCGTCCCTCCCCCCCCCTCCCCCGTGTTCTCACGGCTCTCGCCATTTTCCCCGGATCGTACGATTCCGCGGCTCCCCCTCCCCCTCCTCCCACCCGGCTGCTCGCCGCCTTCCGTCTCCCGTTAGAAGTACGCTAATTTCAACATTTTCGTACGTTTCCATACTAACGTACGTGCGTTCGTTAGGTTGCCAATGCTGGGGCCCTGGGAATGCGCGATGGCTTTGTCTCTCCTCGTCTTTCTCGCGCCGCCAGTTCCCTCGCCTCTCTCGCGCGCCCGTGCGTACCCCCGACTCCCCTCCGCTTCTCCCGCTCCCGTTCCTTTCCCCTCTAACCTCAACAACGCCGCTGCCTCTCCATTGCCTCTGTCTCCCTCGATCACCCCGTCTCTCTCGCTCGCGCGTCTTATTGACCCGGACCCGGTTCTCTTCTCCTCTCTCTTCGATTCGCGCCGGGTTACCCGCACCGACTCACCCGCCGCCTCACGACGGCAAGGGTTGCCAGGGGGGAGAGGGGAGCGAGGGGGTGGGTGGAGGAGGCGGAGGAGGCACCGCGGGGCGGCGGGAGGGACGCGGGAGGACAGGTCCGACGCACAGGTCCCGCGATATACATTTTCATTTCATCTTCTTGGCGCGCTATCGGCGACCGAGGAAAGTAGAAAGAAAGAAAAGGAGGATAGTATCGAGGAGAGCCAGCGTGCGCGCGCGCTTTCAGGAAGAGGCGCTCGGGAAAAATTTCGGCCGTTCCTCCTAGAGCGCGTCGATCGGGTGGCTTCACCGTTCCGGTTCGCGCGAATTCCAATTCGCAACTTCGCTCACGGGAGGGGAAAAAAAAAGTAACGCGAGGACTACGTTGCGGGAGCGTCACATTCCTGCGGTTGCGTATCGATAAAGAGATAATAAGGGGGTTGTGCACGAAGGAAGAAATGAGTTCGCGGCGCCGGCGAATTGAAACTCGCGTCAGTGGCCCTGAGTTGTAACGCGACTCGCGCCCCCTTCCCCCCCCCTCTCGTTGAAAAATTACAGATTCTAGGAAGGAATTGTATTCCGATCCGCGGCGCGCGGCTCGAACGCACCACCGGTCGAAGCGGCGATTGAGGCGCGACGGAGAAATTATTACAACTTCGTGCGCTTATCGCCAAGGTATTTCTTTCAAGATGGCGCGTAAATGACGCCTTGCCGCTGACGCACGCGAATCCCGGCCTCGAGACCGTTCGCGCGCGATACGCGAGTCGGGCCTCGCGTGGTCGATCCTCGGGGGCACATTCCGTTCTCGTGAAATTTCATCGCTCTCCCGAAGGTTCTTCCGTATCGACCGACGAAGAGAGCGGCCCGTTCGTCGTCGCCGGTCGGTAAAGACAGCGGGCGCGCGTCCGCGTCCGCGTCCGCGTCCGCGTCCTCGTCCTCGTCCTCGCGCGCGTACGTGTCAGGAGCGCGAAAAAGGGCGTAAAGCGACGGGCGCGAAAAGCAGGAAGCGTCGCTCTCGTCCGATGTGGGGCAAATTCCAGCGAGCTAGCGAGAGCATAGCGGTGTAGCGAAACTAAGAGGAGCAAAAAAAAGAGTGAGAAGAGAGAGAGAGAGAGAGGTAACAGAAGAAAGAGCACGCAATGACGAGGACGAGGAGTCAGCCAGTCGGTCGGTCGCGATAAATGCATCTCTCTTTTTTCCTCTTTCCGCGTGCTTCTCTTTCTCTGCCTAAAAGTTGACCTCGAGTTTCAAGGGTAGAGAAGGGTTCGCAGTCGTTTCTGCGCCTCGCTCGCCCCCCCTTTCCCCTCGTCTCATATCTTACCGGAGGGACTGTACGGCGAGTCGCGCGCGCGGCTCTCTCGAATTCTCTACGAACGGAGAGAGAACGGAAGAGGAGAAAGCGGCGTTGCCTGTAGCGCGACGGCGGTAGACTCCCGCCATCCCCACCGGCGGTATAACGCCGTTCGATTGGCCGGCGCGCTTAGGTTCTCCTTTGTGAGCGGGCGGGTGAAAGCGTGCTTGGCAACGTCGCGAGAGTTTGCCGGCGTCCGCTGGAAGGAAGGCTAAACTGGTACGAGTGCGAGAGAGCGAGGATGAAAGAGAGAGAGAGAGACAGAGTGTGTGTGTGAGTGAGTGAGAGAAGGGGAGGGAGAGAGAGAGAGAGAGAGAGAGAGAGAGAGAGAGAGAGAGAGAGAGAGAAGGACAGAGAGGGCGAACGAGACACCCGGCAGAGGGGCGTGGAGGGGGGGACGCCATGGAAGACAGAGAAGGAGAGAGAGAAAGAAAGATAGACAGATAGACGGGGAAAGAGAGGAAGAGAGAGATCGTACGAACGCGTCCAGGCGGTCTGTTCTCGCCAGGTTCGCCCTCTGTGTGTGCGACGTCGCGTGTAGTGAGTCGGTAGAGGCGAGAGAGAAGCGAGTCGCGCGCGCGTACGCTTCTCCAATGTGAAAAAGCTATTGCTATACTACTACCATTACAGAGCCGCCGTTACTACTAATACCACTACTCTATCGCCAGCAACTCGTCATCGTCGGCGTGCTCTCCGTCGGACGTGCCGGCGTCGCTCCGCTCCGCTCTGCTCTGCGACGCGACGCAACGCGACGCGTCGCGCCAAACCGAACCGAACCAAACCAAACCAAATCGAGCCGAGCCGAGTCGGAGCGCCGTGTGCGTGTTTATAACGCGCGGAACAGGAGTACCGGCGTCCCGCGGACGCGCGTGACGCGTCCCCCGCGTCGCGCCTAAGCGCCGCACAGAGCGTCCGTCATTGGAAAACGCTGTTGCTGCTGTTACTGCTCCCCGACATTGTATCAAGGACGCGGTGTGTACACCCGTATCCTTGCGTCGGCGCCGCCGCCGCCGCCGCCGCCGCCACCGCCGCCGCCACCACCGCCGCCGCCACCGCCGCCGCTGGAAGAAGGAACCACCGTCGAACAAGCGAGTTTCGCCGCGGGACGGCACACGGGGGGAGAGGGAGCGGGAGGGCAGAAAGAGAGAGAGAGAGGGGGAGGGAGAGAACGAGACGGACGGTGGGCTAGGTAGAGACAAAGAGACGGAGAAAAAGACAGAGTGAGAGAGAAAGAGGAAGAGAGGAGAAAAAGAAGGCGAGAGAGGGAGAGAGAGACGAAGCGAGCGTGAGCGTTCGACGTCGTTGCTCCTCGTCGTCGATGGTGGGGAGGCAGAGAGAAAAAGAAAGAGCTAGAGGGGGAGAGAGAGAGCGCCCTCCCCTACCCACCCGCCCGCTCGTCTCCTCTGCCCGCCGCCGTACCTACTCACGGAGCTAACGAACGGTCGAGCGTAGCGTCGAGTAGACCGCATCCCAAGTATAACGTACGTACGTATATTCACGGGGGACTGAAGCTGAGCGCGCCGCGGCGTGTTCTACGCGCTGGTTACGCGTAAAGAGGGAGAGAAAAAATAAAAGAAAAGAAAAGGACGGGGGAAACGTCGCGTTCCGCCTGCGCTCGCCGTTCGCGATGCGAGTAAGCGAGCACGGGCAAGCACCACGAGCGTTATAGTGATCGGTGTTGCTCCCGTAGCGGTGTTGAATCGTCACCGTCGGCCGCGGTTGAGCGCGGACAGTGTTGTGTGACAGTGAGAACGCGTTTGAAACGCGTGCGTGAGGTGCGTGTCTCTCCTCTCCTGTCCGACATCTAAGCGTTCGTACCAGCGAGTTCCCAAGTGTGCGAATGTGAGACGGATTCCGTGTACGTGCGCGAGCGAGCGAGTGAGAGAGAAAGAGAGAGCGTGTGAGAGAGCGAGAGAGCGAGAGAGAGGAGTAATATAGAATTTGCTGTCTGTGTGCACTGTGCGTGCACGCGGGATGTTACCGAGTTATGAGCGTGCGGGCGCGCGCGTGTGCGTGTGAGTACTAGAAAGGGAGAGAGAGAGAGAGAGAGAGTGAGAAAGAGAGCGAGAGAGAGAGAGAGAGAGAAAGATAGAGAAAGGGAGGAAGAGAGAAAGACTCGTAGCAAGAAAGACGGGCCGGGACTAGAGGGAGGGAGAGGGAAAGAGAAAGGGAACGCTAGCGCGTGCATGTGTACGTGCTGTGCGCGCGCGTGCGGGCAATTCCTCCGTGAATTTTTCTTTTCCCTTGCTGGTGTTGTGTCACCGGCGGGTAAAACGCGAGGCTGAGGACGCTTACGGACGTACGGACGTACGTCGCGATATGTCGGAGCACCACCGCGTAGCCGGTGGCTGGGGCACCGCGAGCCCGGGTAACCGAGAGGATGCCTCCGGCGGTGCCGCCTGGTGGCCCTCGGGCCTGAACGCCGATCAACAGCAACAACAGCAACAACAGAATCTACATCAGCATCTGATGAACCAGCAGCAACAGCAGCAGCAACAGCAGCAGCAGCAGCAGCAGCAGCTCGCGCAGCAGCAGCAGTCGCAGCACCATCCCGACAACGTCCGAAGTACTGCCGCCACGGCGAACCAACAGCTCTTCTCCTACAAAATGGCCTCCAGCTTCCAGAACCCGGCCACCACCGGCGCGGCGTCGAGTCCGGTGTCGACATCCACGCCGGTCGGCGGCGGCGCCGCGTGCATGAGGGGTGGATACGATTACAGGCTCGGTACGGCGCCGGGTCCTGGACAAGGCGCCGGCGGCGGCGGCGGCGGCGGTGGCGGCGGTGGCGGCGGAGGTGCGGGTGCGGGTGCGGGTGCCGGTGGCGGCGCCGCCGCCGGCGTACCCGGCACACCTTCCGCACCGCCGCCCGGCGTACAGTGGTGGTATCCAGGCGGAGTCATGGACGCCGCCGCGCAGAACAACCTGCACCAACAGTTGCAGGGCCAGCAGCAACAACAGCAGCAGCAGCAGCAGCAGCAACATCTCTCGCCCATTACCACGCAAACGTCCACGCCCCCCGTTATGTCCCCGGTATGTTACGAAGTACGAGTACGAGTACGGTGCGAGTAACTATACCCTCGGCGAGAGAAAGAACAAGTGGTATATCCCTTGCCGCGCGCGCGAACGCGTTTCTTTTTCCCGCGTTCTCGGCCAGCGACGCCGTCGTCTTCCCTCTTTCTTTAACGGCTTCGCGCTCCTTCCAGCGCCGACATCCTCCTCCGTTATCGCTCGTCCATTTTTCGGCCGCGAATACATTTCGAGTGTTCGCATCGAGACGATGGATAACGGAAGGACTGAACTCGTAACTGTCAGTCGATACTCGCGGTCGCATTGTACTGTAAAATTGAGGGACAAGTAAGAATTATCGCGCCTGTACGTCACGTATAAATACACACGAGGAAAGGGAAAGAAGCTAATACCGTGCCATTATCGCGCGCAAATTGAATCTTCGCCGGACAGCCTCGATCTGAGAAACCGGCCGTTCGGTAACGGGTTGGCGTTTATGCGACGCCTTTGTACCACGTTGTAGTAGTAGATACGTAGGCCGAAACGCCACGACCTCGCTCCTCACCCCTGTCCCCCTCGTTCCCCCTGCTCGCCGGCCTTTCGGCCACTTTCGCGCGCTCGGCGAGCGAGCGAGCGAGCGAGCGAGCGACCAACCGACCGACCGAGCGGGTGGCTATAATACGAAGACAGAGATACAGCCGGTCCGACCAGGTGGCCACGCGGCCACTTTTGACAACTTTTCCGAACGCTTCCAACGAGATACGCGTCAGTGTTCGTTTTAACGATGCTCCCTCCTCAAGCCTTAGATACTTTCATCGAGTCCGTCAGGTATTATAGTTCTAATCTCGATTCTCAAATTATTAAAAGAGATATTTATCTGAGAGATCAAAGAAATTCCCAAATAATGATTTCTCAAGACAAGGTTTTTTATCTTGCACAGCGTGTGTTCTTAAGCGAAGCGAATGGATTTCGTTTTTTTTCTCTCTCTCTCTCTCTCCCCCCGCTCGTCTTTCTCTCTTGCCAATGTGGCAGCAGCTTTGTCTGATTTGTGCCCGTCGTCCCTTTCGTCTCTCAACGGTGCTCGGTCGGTTGTTGTCGATTTTCACAATTGCCGAAAAATGCGGGTCGGAACAGGACGGTTTCGTTTGAGGGTCAACGAATCCTGGCAAAGCGGTCAGTCCGTAGTTAGCGAGGTGGTGGCGTCGACGATTCTAGCGAGGTACGCGTGTAAATTGACTATCTTATTGTTCCCACATATATTATCTTTTCATACTTCCTTCTCTGTTAGATAAATTTATATCCCATTTGTCCAGGTAAAAAAATTTCAGGCGATGGGCTTTACGATGCATTCGCTTCACTGCTTGCGTCTCGGAGATACGTTTAAGGAATTAAGATCGCCAGCGGCGATAGGCCCAGGTATCAAGAGAAAAGTTAGGGTGTATTGGGATCCCTGAGGTTGTACTTTGATAGGCTTGATAGGCAACGACGAAGAGGCGATCCAGGAACGTGATTGCGATAATTACGATAAAAGCTATATGCATGTGCATATTCCTTCGTATTCCTCGATGTCGTCGTCCCGTAATGCGCATATAAAGGCAACTCGCGAGGAAACGCGGAGTATTCGCGTAGAAGTTTCGCTTATCGTCCCTTGCGCTAGCAGTTCTGCAGTAAAAAGAAGGGAGTATTACTTGGAGAGCGGTATATAATTTGTTTCGCGCAGTATTGATCGATTTTTACCGATCGCCGACAGCGATATAATCTCGGTAACTAAATTTTTCATACGAAAGGACTTGTACTCATACAAAAGGACAGGAGGGGACTAGGGAATGCGCAGAGAGAAAACGTGATTTTTCAAAAAGCGCAACTTTGCGCAAGATAAACGAAGAAAAATTTCGTATAGTTTATCGTACATGGCGTTTTGATTAACCGCGCTCTTTTCAATCGTAGATCCTTCGAGCAATTTCGAGCTGATTTTTTTCCCCGTTGTAAATTCTATAATCTTTCCTACACGAAGAAAAAGCCCAAGACTCGACGCAATTCCCCAAAGTATTCGCTCGTTTTGCCGTTTTCAGAAAAGACAAACGGCCGGCTCTTTCATCTGTATAAGCTTCGATTCACAAGATTCACAATTGTGTTTGTGTGTGTGTATGTGTATGTGTGGATTTGGACGGAAGTGATAGAAGAGACGGAAACCCTAAGATCCCTGGTTTGTTATCTCGCGCGAACTGAAAAGTATCTTCAACGTATTTCGTGAAGCTATTCTGTTGAATATCGAGTTACATACGGAAAATGCGTGTTACTACACAATGCGAGAGGGAGGGAGAGAGAGAGAGAGAGAGAGTCAGGAGAGAGATCCGGGTGATTTTTTGCCTCGTCATTCAAGTACACAGTTGAGAGAGGCCAAAGAATCCCGATTGTCATCGTATCTCAATGTCCAGTTTGATCGGGCTCGGATTTTCGCACGTTTCGTCGTTCTCGCGTTCCCGTCCGGACTCGCGCGCGCGGTTCTCTCACCCCGTCGCGTCAGTCCGTCCGTCCGTTGGTTCGTCCGTCCGTCCATCCGTACGTACGTACATCCGCCGTCCGCTATTGATTCCGGGTTTCGTGCGGCCTTCTTCATAAGTGCGTTCGCGTTCAGCAAGTCCGGCCGCGCTTGCCGGTTGATATCATCCCGTTTTTCCTTTCGTTTCTCGTTTCGCGACTTCACTGGCGCGAAGTGTCAAGAGATCTGTTCTTCTCAGCTCGCCTTATCCCCCTTTTTTTGCTCCCCGAGCGGAATAAGCGCGCATTCGGGCGTCGTGTGTGGCGGGAAGGAGGGGGGGAGGAAGGTCGAAGGAGAACGCAGATTGCTTTTGCGGCTGAACGAATCTAGAAATTTGTCGAATAAGAGCGGTCCAGCTCCCTAATTGAGTTTATTTAAATACTCCACGCTCTCCTTCGTTTTAGGATTGTTTAGTTTACATTGATCGAGAACGCACAGATTTAAAATTTAGATTCGAAGAATATCGGAAAGATGCATATATTTACATGAGAAAGTATGCAGCTAGCGGGTGTCGGAAACGAAAAGAAATTATTTTCGTAGTGAGGAAAGTAGATAGCTTTTGAAATGATAATAGGGTTTTGATTGAAGACAGTTTTTTCTTCTCTTTCCGTAAAATTGCCATTATCCGTTCTGTATCAACTTCTTAATCGATCACGTCGTCACGAATTACAGTTATTCGTAAAATTATTCTCTTCTCCGAGTCTTTTCTCTTCTTAAAAAGAGAAGAAGAAGAACGTCAGATTTACCGTTTTGAATTTTTGCACGCGTACGAAAAGCAGCGACCGGAGTGTCAACTTTTTTTCTCCCTGCGAATTCAACAGGAATTCAAGATTGCCGCCTTCTCCCGGCAATCTCTCGATCTTGGCCATTGACATTGACAGTGATATTGAAGTCATGCGCAATTTTTTTTTCTCACCGCGAATCGATAACCGGAGCTTGTAATAGTGCGACGAAAGCGGAATCCCGCTCCGGAATGCACGCTAGACTACACATGAAAGTTCACGTATGAAAGTTCGTGATGAATGGTCGAACCGATTACGCACTTTCGAAATAATAATGCTCGAGCGGAGCGACGCAATTTGCGATTTCGCACGATATCTCAGCCGGACACTCTGGAGATTTTTTCTCGAAAGTTCCATGAAATCTGAAAACTAGGTATTTGAAGATAAATATGTTTACGTGCATGCCCTAATTGGAACCGGATCTCGATACAGTTTCGACGAAAAATCCTGTCGCGTTAATGAACAAGACAACCTGCCCCGAGTCCGTTTAAATGCTCGTACAAAATCGCCAGTGAGGAATTTCTTCATTATATTCTTAAGACGAACGAGGGATGGACCATTTTTCACATTTACGGTGTTAAATGTGTATCGAGTGCAGGATTTTTTTCCCCTTAGAAATAGACCACTCGACCTCGCGCCGACAAACGAGAGGAACGTGTTTCACCTGTTCCTCCCCCGGCTTGCCACGCGCGTGATGTTACGCTTTTCTTGAAATACAATATCGATCTCTAAGATTTATCCTCTACGATCGCGCGGCACCGAAACTTCAGCAACGGCACAATTTACGCTTTAATTAACAGGCACGCAGTAAACGATCCCCGATACGAGTACACGTGTCCTGAAGCTCCAGCGTATACGTTCGTCGGTAGCTCTCTGGTAAAACGGGTAAATGGCTTGTGTCTATTTGAGAGGAGGCACCGTCGAGAGTGTCACTCTCAAGAGTCATACAAATGGACGTGGTGCTGGAAAAGTGTACCACGGAGTTACTTTCTTACTTACACTTTTACTCGTTTACTCCTCTTACGTCCGAGAGGCGCACGCGGGTAGAGAGTGCTTTGTAAGTGCGATCCCCGTTTGAGTTTCGACGGTATCTTTCGCAAGTGGCAACAGCAGCCACGACGGTAATTTGCCTGAAATTTTGGGAGCTCCGGAATGGTACACAAACACGCGTGCTACTGTCCGACTCGTCTGGAATCTAGAATCCTTCGTTAGATCACTTTAATCGCTTCGCGGTTCGTGTCGATTGAAAAAATCATATAGCGCGAGGAAACAAATTTTTTACAGTACAATGCGTCATTAAGATAAATCAGTAAAAATGAAGCACGTATTTCTCCCAAGTCACAGTCTCGCGCGCGAGACCGACCGTGTAGTTTGCGCGAGTTGACAGGCCTTAATATTTTCGGATTTCAACAACAACTGATCCGACGAACTTCCAAGTGCGCTCAGTCGATAGCTTGGGCTCGATTTGCATAATAAAAGTGTCTTTATCTTTCTCCTACGTGCCCCGTGAGTGGAGATATTGCAATTGGATACTACCAGGAAACATGTAGAGCCCTTTCGATCATTCTGTGTATGTTTAAAACGTTCCAAATATTCTCGTTACACGTAGCATCGGGCTCGTTAGATTTTTTAATCGAGATTGTGCCCTTTTTTCAATTCCTTTAACAAAAGCCTTCGGGTACGTAGGAAAACCCTGCCGAACGAAGCGAGATCGCAGCCGCGGTCGCAAAAGCTCTCGGAGCTTTCTCCTCCGTTTTGCTCGTTTTACCGCCGTTCGTGGAATACACCTCGTCGCAAACATCCGACTTCCGTTTCGTGTCCGACGTTAATTTTATTTCCACCGTTGCGAAGACCATAGGAAACGATACGCCCGTAATGCAACGCCTGCGGCCCCAGGAGGCATAAATTTTTAATCCCTTGCATATCACGGCGAGGAGTGCGAGGAGATAAGCGAGAGAGAGAGAGGAGAGAGAGAGGGGCGGGAGGGGGGAGAGAAATAACGCGCGATCGCTCCCGCTGCGGGATGTACTTCCGATTACGTACGGTCATTTTCTTACTCTTTCATTACTCTCTCGGACAGTCCAATACGCTAGGCAAAAGTAGCCCCTAAGAACGCTCACCGCCAGAATTAGATATTGAATTGATTAATTAACCAAAGTGAGGGACGTAATTAATTAGTTAATTAAGTCCGACATATTTTATGTAATGCGATATATATTGAATCGCCCCATAAATAATGCGGGTTTTCGCGTCCGGCTCGCGCGGAGGCGCGGGTGGTGGTCCGCCCGCGCCCGTTCACGCTTCTAAACGTCGTCGAGAGAGCGAGAGCGAGAGAGAGAGAGAGGAGACGCGAGTGAGAAACCCCGCATCACTTATGGAGCGACTCAATAACAATGTCGATTCTACATAGTAGTTATTTTGCCGGCAGATCTCACATCCGCACGTAGGTCAACTAGATTTCCGATTATTTCTGCAGGTACGTGGTAACTATTATTATTCGCAATCCGGAGTAATAACGGTCGGTTATATTGTACGTATAGTACGAGTATAATTGTGCTACATCACGTCTTGCACGCATATCTCACAGAGAGCCCCGGAGACTTGAGGAGTGGCGTATCCGATTCGCGGGATATGTCGCGTACGTTGGCGTGTGTATAGCATAAATATACAAGCTGGTGCGTGCTTTAAGAGAGTCGTGTCTAAAAATAAACATTTTGTTTACACATTGCTCTGTAGGCGCTGCCTTGTCTGCTTTGCAATTTTTCCGGATCCGCCGTGGACACGACGCGAGTTTGCGGGAGAGAATTCAGTTTCCACCAAGACGCGTGGCGCATGTATACAGAGGGTCCCAGGCCTGACGCATCGTCGATGACGGATCCCTGAGGTCGTTTCGAGACGGAGATCCTGACGCCGAGGCTGCAACGAGTTTTAAATGAGAAGCGTTCGAAGTCGGCGAATCGAATTGTCCGAAACTCGCGCGCTCAGGCAGTTTTTTTTTTACGCGTGCGAAATTACATCAGTTTCGAGAGTGGATTTCGATGCGCCGGAAAAGCCTGCTACGCCACTGTTCAGTGCGACACACCTGAGCGCGCGTATCCACGGACAACTTGAACTTTGGTCAACTTCGAACGCTTCTCATTTCAGAATTATTGTATCCTCGTCATTTTGGTATCGGGACTCCCGTCTCAGAGTAACCGCGGGAGAATCTGTCGTTAACGGGTGGGTGCGTCAGGTCTGGGACACACTGTATGTTTACGTGTGTCCGGTTTTATTCTATTTGAATCTGCGTAAAATTGTTCAGTTCTACTTTCCGCAACGACGGGGACCACAGCTTTGGCGCGTAATAAACATACAACGATCTGATAATATAATTATAATAATATAATGCCGATCTCTATATTCGTTATTATTATTATCATTATTATTATTACGGCATTATGTGTAATAACGATATATTAATTATGTACATAATGATAACACACTGTATAACGTTGCACGTACGTACAATGTAATGACCATTGTTACTTGACAAAATCAAAAACGCGCGTTTGTACGGCGAGCATTGTTGCGTGTGTCTCATTGTCAATGTGAGATCGCGGGCCGCAGCCGTTCATTAATTTAACACGCAAGTCGTATTACGTAAAGTGCGTAACTAACGACACGTCTCAGTTATCGCGGAATAACTTGGCTGAATTTCGCCCGCGGCAAAAGTCTAAACGACCGATCTTTCGCATCGCGGTGAACAGGAGGAAAAAAAAAGATCTCCATTTTTTCTCGCGGCGGCTCGCGAGAAGCGAGCTAACGAGGAAATCCCCTTTTCTCAACGCTTACGTAAATTTCTCATAGTACGACGCGGCGCGTATTAACATACATTCGCGCGCGAATTTTTCTCGATTTAAAAATAGAAAGTCTACTTTACGACTTGAATTTTTCTTTCCATGTAAAAAAAAATAGAAAATTTCTATTTTTAAACACAAATTTCTCTCGATGCGAAAGGTAGAAGATTTCTATTTTAGCACTTAAGCTTCTTTCAATGGAAAACAAAAATGGGAGATTTCTACTTTGAGAATTTCGAGACTTTTCTTTCGTTTTCACGTCGAGATAGAGAAGCGTTTCCGCCTCAGAAATCTCGTTTGACGCAAGAGTAGAAGTCGTTGCTGTCGTTGAGACTTGTTGTTTCAAAAAGGTGTTAACAGGTCCTTTCGCTATCTGCCGCGGCAGCGTTTTGCATTGTAGACCGTTTGCTTGGCTTTCAGCACCCGATACAGCAGATACCGCAAAATAATCTTCAACAAAATAACGCTCAGAGTCTGCAGCGGGACAATATGCCGAGAGGAAAAGATTCGAAGCCAAGAGGACGGATGACAGCGTACGCGTTCTTCGTCCAGACATGTCGTCAGGAGCATAAAAAGAAGCATCCCGAGGAGAAGATCGTCTTCCGGGAATTCTCCAAAAAGTGTGCAATGAGGTGGAAGGTGAGATTTTTTTTTCCTTTCCTTAAACCTACTCGATATAAGTAAACCTTAACTCTACTCGCCGTAGTTCATTACCAATCAATCAATCCTTTATTCACTTCAACATATTACAGTCAAGAAGCGGGACTTGGTTTACAATTCCAGACCTAACTCAGTCACACCATCCTTAGCCAATTCATTGCAAAAATCGTGTTTTTACAAATACTGTATATAAAATTATATTCTATGTAACATATAATTTTATCAAATTAGTAAAATTCGTATTTCAATCAAATTATCAAATTTGAAGGAATAAAGGACTAAGAGCCGTCACAGGGTGTTAGTGTCTAAATATTTTATTCTAAATTTACTGCGAAAAACTATCACCTTAGCCATGGTTTGATATTATATAATATTATTTTGACAAATAATACTGTATATGAAAATTTTCGAGTGATTCATCGATATAAATGTTTTCATTGTGCGCAGATTTGAATTAGATTAACAGAGGCCCTTGCTAGGATCAAGGGAGTCCTCGTAAGAACTAACTTGATCGAACTTCTCCGCGTGTCGGTTTCACAGCCGCAGGTGCGAGCGAGAGAGACGGCGGGGTGCCGTGGCGTTCTGTCGAGAGCCTCGCGGATTCGCAAGAGCCACTTTGATCTTGGCCTCTGAATAAATACGTGCGCTCGATAAACGCCACGTGCAAGTGCCGGTATTTGAGCGCGTCGCTACGTCCCCGGCTCGTTAAACCGTCAATCTTCATCTTCGTCCGGCGGAATCAGGATTGTCGATATAAGTAAAACGGTATAAGTAAAACGATTCTATACGCGCAAAAACCTCTACGCGCCGCGACGACGTCACGTTAAGGAACGTGTGTCTTCAAAGCACTCATTATCCTGCGTGCACGCGACCGTGCCGAGCCGGGAAACACATTATTTTCTCGGTAATTGAACATTTTTATCGCACGTGGCTCGATCTGTGAGACCGACCGTATAGAGACGCCAACGCTATATGGCCGGAATATCGTATGTGTCGTAGACTATGTCGGACATCGAGAAGAAGCGTTTCCACGAAATGGCAGAGAAAGATAAGAAGAGATACGACACGGAGATGCAGAACTATACGCCTCCGAAGGGTGAAAACAAGGGCAGAGGCAAGAAGCGCAAACACATCAAGGATCATAATGCTCCCAAGAGATCGCTGTAAGCCCCCGGCGCTGTTTAATACATAATGTATCCCGATCTCGCGAAAAAAAAATTTGCTGATTAATATTTAAATATGCGGCGAGAAACATTGACTTGTAAATTCGAACGGAAGCGAAAATTTAACTTCTTTCAAGCAACGCTCGCATTTTAATGACACTTATGAAATCACGGTTTCACGCAACTTAATTTTTTTCTTCAAAGTAAGGTCGCGATTTAAAGTCGTTTTTCCGAAAATTAAATCTGCTGCAATCTCTCGAAGGTGTATATACATTCAAGTTTAGATTACTTCCGAATTATGCACTGTGAGCTTGGTCAGTTTCTACAGTAAGTAGACTGGCATTAGCACATTATCGCGCCGCGCACCTCTTTCAACGGCGGCAGATAGATTTCACATGATCAATTTCGTCAGGTCTGCTTTCTTCTGGTTCTGCAACGACGAGCGCGGTAAGGTCAAAATGCTGAATCCCGAGTATGGCGTAGGCGATATAGCTAAGGAATTAGGCAAGAAATGGTCGGACGCAGATCCCGAAACCAAATCTAAATACGAGGCTATGGCAGAGAAGGACAAGGCTCGATACGAAAGGGTAACGCATCTAAATTTAGTACAACCTTATGTTTTTAACCGTTAAGGCTCTCCTAGCCCCCGCATTGCTGCCGTGTCGACGCCAGCTAAAAGTCATCGAGTTTTCGAAATGAAGAAATAAAATATCTTATTTTTTTTTCTTTACGCAGGAAATGACAGCGTACAAAAAGAAAATGCAAAACGATAGCGCCCCGATGGTCGGAGGCGCGCAGGCGAACCAAACTGTAATAAAAAGCGACAGCGAAGAGGAATGGAAGGAAGACGACGAATAGCGGATGCACGTCGAAATTTCTTCATCTATCACCCCGTGTCCTTCATCCTGAAAGCATACCTCACCTACTGTACGTACCATTGACCTTAGCGTGAGCGTACTTACACCACCATCACTAGGAAAACGAAGCAACTAACCACCAAGCAACCTACCAATCAACCAAGCTCTTCAACAATCCCCACCAACCAACCTCCTAATTCTTTCCCCGATTATTTACGATAATGATAAAGTAATCCGCGCTAATTATGGTAATTATTTTAAAAAAGAAAACTGATATGTATGAGTGGTGCGCGCGAGCGTGAGCGAGAGAGGATCATTGTGTGAGTGAACATTTGTACTTTAACATATTGATAGTAACGATGATGTAAAGCGGCTAGTAAGATAGCGGAAGATCATGAAAGAAAACAAAAAGTAATAAGAAATCAGAAGAATCATGAGTAAAATGCAAAAAGCGGAAGAGATAAGACACGGCGAACGCCCATACTTTCTCTGTCCGGATGGAAGGCGCAGGGGCTCAATCATTGTTGACTTTTTGCTCTGTCGACGCTATATTACAAGCTATGTAGCTTAGTTTACTAATGACGAAACGCCGCGATAATGATGGCTCCGTAGCGCGGGGATCGGAGATGATTTGCAATTCTTTTTATCCGTATTCTTTCGGATTTCCTTCCGATTACGCGGGGATCATCCTTTTCTTTGGGTCGTTTACACGCATTGTCATCGGCACGAGAGAAAGAGATCGCTCTCCCGAATCCTCGCTCCTGCGAGGGGCGTGTCATGTCGCGTCGTTGCAAAATTAATATACTATACTTTTGGGGATTTTTTTTCTTAGTTCAGTTCAATTCAGTTCAGTTCTGTTCACTTGTTGCCAGCGTCGTTATGGCACGGATACACATATATATATACACACACACACACACGCAGAGACACATACAGACAATTGTTGTATATCCTTGTACAGAGAGCTTCATTTTTCTTTCGTATATTTTTAGCGAATCGATCATGTTGAGCGCGCGTGATGGGGCATGGGGCCGCTTTACGCATATTTGCGAATATATAATTGATTTTATCGAGGTACACACATGTCTTGTAATAGCTGTAAGTACGTTTAGAATTAAGTATACGTGTATCTTAATGCAGATTTGAATTCTCCGGCGACTCTCTACGTCTTTTTTTTAAGCATATAATGTACTTTTTTTCGACATTTACACGGCGGTGTTACAAGCCACGAGCCACCACGTGATTGAGCCTTAATTACGTAGCCGATAAACGATCGCCCCGATGCGCTCAATCGCATCGGGAGAAACTGTGTGCGAGAGAGAAAGAGGGTGCATGTGTATGTAGCTCGCAGCTTCTCTATTAGATCGTTGCATATGAGATGTCACTTTTTTGAGAAAAGTGAATTTTTAATAATCCAATATCATGTATGTCTATAATTCTTTTTACACGAATATACTGTAGCACGGGCTTTGTTTTGTTTTTCTTTCTTGTTTTACAAGTTGTAACATTCGAGAAAATTGACAAATAATTTAGCAATTTAGCAAATTTTTTGTTTTAAAGCTATTTTAATCGGACGTAAACAAGATCATCGATATTATTCATGTGTTAATATTACCATTATTATAAATATATTAATCTCATTTATTATTTTATTATAATTATATTATTTTGACATCGGTTATGGATCCAGATTTCTCTTTGATCGAGTAAGAATTTAATTATAAGGATAATTTAGACACGATTTATTGTGTAAATTACTTAGAACGATTAATGTGAGAAAAATGAATAATTGTATACAAAATTTAACTTCCGGAATATAAAGTTGGAAATATATATATATTTATATCTTCTTATCTCTCTAAGGACCAGTTTCACAAACGTCGGTTAACTGCAGACCGAAGGTTAGTTGATTCTCTATCTGTTTTTAGATAAAAAGATAGAAAAAGATAGGGAGTTGGCTGAACTCTGGTTAACAGTTAACCGACGTTTGTGAAATTGGCCCTTAGTTTCCTATATTTTTGATCAGTATGCTTTGAGATGGTTATTTTTTTATTGACGTCAATAATTTTTTCACTTATGGAGAAAGTTTTGATTCGAGTTTTCTCAAATGTACTCTTTGAGTTATGTGCATCTTGTATTTTCTCGGAAATTAAACGAACCATTGATATATAGATATAAAGCCGACATTTCATGTGCAAGGGCCTAATATTAAATCAAAATCAGTAGCAAGATATTCTAGCGTCTCGTGGAGCAGCAGCGGTGTCGCCGCGCGCGCGCGAGTTCTAATGCTTGTTTGTGAAGACGACGATTGTTGTAGTCATGAAAACGAAACTTTCTTTTTATCATGTACATTCGTGCTGTCTCGAGGCTGCCGGCAGCCTGCAGCCAACGAAATTTTGTTTCTTGCCCGTTAAAGAAAATCTACCGTAACTCCACACGTCCGTTCTGCCGAAAATGCTTCATCATTAACTTCGAATTTGACCTCGAAGGCGCGAAAAAAAAGTTATTTTCGTTTCGTAGTTTCTGTCTATGACCGGCGTAGAAGCGTTATGATAAAGTAATGGATGGTATGTGACGAATGTTAACACCTTGTCGACCGTTCGGGTATAGATGCGCCCGTTTCGTAATTCTTAATTAGTTCGCAGGGAAGTACTAAAAAAATTGTAAGAAAAGAAGAAAAGAATATTTTCCGGGGCGAACGTAGATCATAAAAATAGTGCGGAGAGCCCAATTAATTTAGGGGCGTGACTCGCACGGCTGACAAGGTGTTAGACGTTTGAGCTGGCGTTTGAAATCGATGTGCGACTCTCGTGCGACCGTAGTTTTAACGCGAATGATGACTCCGTTTCTTCTCCGTTTGACTTTTTCTCTCTCTCTCTCTCTTTCTCTCTCTGTTTTCTTTTCTCTTAGCCCGACACTGAAGTGGTCCCTGCCCCTTGCCATCGCCATTTTCCCTCTCACATTCGTTTTTAACTCACTGGAAGAAATAAAAAAAAGTAGTAAAAAAAAAGGGTAATACGTTCAAATCTCTCGTCTTGAGACTCACGTGAATGATATAATAACCGCCGTTTCCTTCGTTAAATCATATTCTCGGGAGTAATCGGATTAAATAGAAGATAAGCTCCCCGCGAGGAAAAGGCGTTTTCTCTGTCTTGTACTACCTCGAGTCATCTGGTGTACAGCAGGCTGTATTATAATAAATTATTGTGGTTTCTTGTAATATTAACATTCCTAGATCCTATAGCGTGTACAGTGCATTCTAATCGCATTCGGGATTTAGAGAGGGGACCGTGAGGAGCCGAGCCCGGTTGAAACAAGTAGAAGTTAACGAAAGGACGATGGAAAGACAGGAAGAGAAAAAAGACAGAAATAGGATCTCGCTAGTTTCTTCTACTTCTTCTCATTCGTCGTTGAATAACGCGAGATTGGGTATACATGTAAACGTATGAGAGAAAAAAAATATATAATAACGTTATATGTTTATATGTACATTTACGCTCGTGTGTGTATCTACATAAATTTTTTAGAAGCTTTCTTTAAGATTGGGACCGGCTGACACACACACAAACACACTCGCACCCTCGATATGTACTTTGCCCGCAGCCCAGAAAAATTTATCGTCACTTTTTCTCAATAATGTTTAAAGTCTCTCTTCGTCCCTCCCCCGCCATCCGTTTTCTTTCCCTACCCTTCCCCAGAACACATTGTCTCGTATTGTCGACGTAAACCGGGGGAAAATAAAAGAAGTGAAACAGTAATAAAAGATGACCGATTTCAAACGATTGATTACGATGAGCAGAACGTGGGCGAGAAAGGAACCTGTTGTTCTTAGAGGGAGTTAGAGAACGCGGATGACAGACGACTGTAAAATATCAAATTGTAATATTTTAATACTGATTTGCAGATGTGCATAATTTTAACATGTAGCTGGTTGTAAAACAGGGAAGGGGGGGGGATGAAGTGAGCGGATTGTAAAACTGATGCTGGGATGTTGCGTGAGACACGGTGTCCGTTCGACGGAGAGGTACAAGAATTTTGAACGTATAAAAGAGGGGGGAGGGGGAAACAAGGATAAAGGAGCAAGGAAGGAAAAGGTGGGAGAAGCGGAATGTCTCGTAAAAAGGATCATGACATGAATTTCCTGTATTACACTGCTAGGGGAATTATGATAGTTACACGAGAAGAAATGTTTGTTTTGTATATCTCTTAGGGATAAATAAACTTTTCAAAAAATATCTCATCTCTAACTTCTAAAGAACATCATCGAGTCTCTCTCTTTCTCGACGAACGGCTCTACCCTCCTCGCGCGATCGAACGAATCTCGGAGATGTATCTGTCGTTTGCTGCTCTCGCTCGATATGCATTAAATAACTCTGTCATGACCGCCGCAACGTGTAAGTCCCGCGTCTCTCGCCTCTCTGACTTCGTGGGTCCCGCCGGCGAGAATTACGAGAACGGAAAGTAATCCGGTCATGAAAGGGTTTACTCGAGAATGTTGAAAATTACGTGCGAAGAACGGTGATCTTCCGACGTGCCGGGGCTTTGGGAAAGGCGAGAAATTTCCTATCTTGAGATAGAGGATTCTAATTCGAATTAATTTCGCGCGCGACGTTTAGTCGGTTTAAATCGAAATTGAACGATACGAATCTTCTAAACGTCTCTTGGAGATTTCAGTGATGCCAGAATTGAGACGTCGAGAAGGAGATGTTCACATTAAAGAGAAGTCTGCACTCGGCGCTTCTCGTCTGTGAACGGTAAAGGGGATCCTCCGCACTTCTTCCTCCCGCTGTGATTCTCGGGAGGAAGGTCGTATACTTTCATGTACCTTTCTTTTTCGTATATTTGTATCCGCCGGCGCTGGCCGCATTTACTTTCTGGCATCACGTTCTGTCGTATGCGGATTGCAAAGCAAATGAATAATCAATTTTATAATTGTAACGCGAACTGCGACGTTCGACTATTTAATCGCACGCGCGATTAAAATGGCGATGAATCGATTTTTTTTTGTGGAGGCACTTATTTCAAATCGGCGGATCGGTGGACGATGTTCATATATGCGGAATTTTCTAGGTACACTAGGAATCACTGATGCCTTTCGCACATGAATTTGTGCACGTGTCGACACATTTATACATTTTGCCTACACATACGTGGAGAATGTACATGTGTTCTGCATGTGTCTAAATTCATCTGGGAAGCCGTCACTGATTTCTAGCGTACATACCAAGTGCTGACAGTCGAAGAGCTCTGTAAATTATACAGGCTCGTGTGTGCGATACAGCGATGCGAGATATAAATGCAATTACGGTCCGATAATCTTTTATTTATAACTGCACACTTGGCAGAACGTTTTCTTCATAGAACCTTATTTTTGTTGGTCAAGTTACACGTGTAAGAAAATTAGCCGTGCGTTTTATAATCTTCTTTATCGTCTTTCAAATGAAGGGACAGCAGGCGAATATGATCCTTCTCAGCACGATGTATCGGAATATTGGGAAATAATGTGAATTAAATTAAAAATGCAGAAATTGTTAATTCTACACGCACTGAGACCTGCGTTGTACTATCAGTGCCTTTGTCTACTCCAGATTAATTATTTCAACATCGAAAGTCCCTTGTATGTTTTGAGTATCCTTATTTTCTTTTTGTAAATTAATATTGATTAATATTGAATGATATTGAATTGATCCACTTTTTGTGCAAATCAGTAGCACAGTTGCTTCAATGGCAAATTCTGTTGGCTTAACATTGGGGAAATTATCAGCCAATGCGTTCTTAATATAATTAATGTTTCTCCAATATAGAGCCAAGACATTGTGCTAATTCCTTGACGCCGTACGAGATGTAAAGGACGCGACGTGGCTCTTGCACACAGGACGCGGAAGAAAGGAACGTGACAGCCAATCAATTGCCGCTTTTCTACAAGAGTGAAATAATGATTGGCTACCGTGTTCGTTTCCGCCTTTGGAACGAAACGAACAAGGGCCACTTTAACCGACTCCGATTAACTTTAATCGACGATTAACTCAATCAGCAGTGTCGCCAACATGAAGACTTGCTCGAGGCGTTTGCGACGACATATTTTCAACAGGTATTTTAAAATTTTACTTATAATACAATAGATATATCACGCTGAGATATGTACAATAGTACAATAGTTATATCACGTCAGTACAACAGATTACTAAGAAATAGGATAGTTTAAGAACAGGGTTGGGAAGTAACTCGATCGTTACTTGTAACGAAGTTACAGTTACTTCTTTTAGGCAACTTTTTGGCAATTTTTCTTGTAATTTCCTTTTACAATGTATACACTATTATAAAAGATATAATTACATTATAAAATCAAATTTTAATATCTATACAATACAATATTTCTTTCGATGTTACTCATGAAATATTCGGTATGCATACAATAACATGAAATTCTTGCAATGTAAAATATATACACATTGCATGTGTGGGATAAAAAATATTTCGAATGTATCTATTAACGGTCTCTTAAAAGTAAATCAAATCTACAAAAATTTTAAGTAAATTTAAAGTAAAAACTTAACAAACGCGTAACAACTTTCATCTTATTATATGCATTCGATTACATATTCAATATTACATTTTTTAATACAACAAAATTACAATATAAAGTTTCTAAGTATTTTAGTGTAATTTCATACGTTTTATTAAAAATATATTAACTATAGTTTCTTATTTAAAATAATGGCACATATAATTATATTTAATAGTAATACATTGCAGTTATAATTTTATCTATCTTTTTATTTATGTCCCCCTGTCCCTGCCTACCCGAATCCCTACCTATCCGTATTCCGCTGTATAGTCTTATCCATTTTCCTACCTACCCGCGTTCTACTTTTTGTTAATAAACCTGCAAGTCTCGTTAAAACCGCGACGCGATTTAATAGGGATTTAATAGAAGTCTTTTTAATCTCGCACATATGCGAGAATATGTAAAGAAGATAAGAATATAGCCCACCCGAATTTTGACATGTAAGAAGAAATCAACTTATTTCGTACAACACCTGACATACTCCATCAAAGTGGTCAATATTGACCACTTACCTCGTGGTATTCCATCGTTGGACCAGATTGGACCTACCATTCGTTGCTCCTGGCCATACAGTCTGGTCATTCTGACCAGAGATCAGAAAGGAAGAAAACTCCTTCCATAGTCGGTTTATTATCGTCACCGACAAATATTTCGTACGATTCGAACTATATGCGAGCGTCGATCGTATCGAGATGCACGACCACGAAAATTTAATTAATAAAGAAGATTAATTAAAAAATTTTTCTGTATAAAACTACTCAAATATAGTTTTACTTCGTGACTCAATCTTTAAATTCAAAATTCAAGTATACATGTATACAAAAAACAATTTACTTCGCGTTTTATTTATTTTAATTACATCCCGCGATAAATTTAAATTTATAATATGGATAAAATTAAACAATTATTTTTGAAAATTTTTTTAAACACTGATCGCGAAAACCGACCGCGAAAATACGAGAATGCGTGTAAATACACCCTCAGAAAAAATTTCTGTTACCGAGACAAAAAATATTCCTGACGTATTTATATTTCTCACAACCTCATTTGGTATAAAAATAAGACAATATCAAAATAAAATCAATAATTCTTATTTTCCTCTATCGAATTAAAAAATATTGACTTCTTATATTAAGACAAGAGTAACTTATAGAAATGTAAGTTTATATATTCTTGTGTTTAAAGTAAATTTTCCCTCCATTTTACAACGCACGATATTGGCGATATTCGACAAAAGACGATACATACTATAATTTTATTCTAAATTTTAGAATTTTTCAGTTAAGATTAAAATATTCCTTTCTCTATAATAAATATGATTGGCGTTATTCTATCGATTCTATATTATGATACATTGAAGTGTAATAGCTCCGGAAATTTTTTCTGTGGGTGTATGCATGTATTCATGCGAGACGCATCTTGGAAGTGTCGCGAAGTGCACATACAAATAGATAGATGGATAATTCAATATTTTAGTTAATCAATAACTCAGATAAAGTATAAAAATATTATAAAGTTTCTGCCCTCTCGACAAAATATTAGAATCTCACGTCATGTTGTTTTATTTTATATATAAATTTGTAAATAAAAATGGATAGGCTACAAGAGATTAGCTTGACGAATACATCAATAATATTCGTCATCATTTGCGTGAAAATATGTGATGTTATACAACGAGACATCCAACCCTCCACAATAAAAATCGCGATCACTCTTTCGATAGATAAAATATATAATAATAAATATGAAATAAAATTGTACTCTATCCATTTCAAGGCAATGTATCTACGAGATGTACTAATCTACGTTCTACGATCTACAATCTACGATCTACGAGATGTAGATATATTGCCTTAATAAAAAAGTTTCTCACTCACCACCCGATGTGCATCAGCGGAGTTAGAGCTACATTGTATCTGCAACATAGAAATATAGAATTTATTAAAGTGTTCGAGGAAATTAATATTGTAAGATATGAACAATTCTTATGCTTATTAAATGTTTCATTCGGTTGGATATTTAAATGATTAATTCGCAAAAGATTTTCCGCAAGAGATCTTGACAAGAGTAAACTTTTGTAAACTTTTACATTATTTCGCGTTCACTAATTATTATGTCGAAATTATAGAATTGTGAAATAAAACGACTCGAAAATGAACGGGGAAAAATATTAATTTTACACTGAATAACCAATATTCACCTTAAAGTTGCTCCGCCGGCGCCCGATGCCTCTGCCAGGCCTCCTCCTCCACTCAGATTTTCTTCTAGCACACTCGCGAAAACACAGATCGTTCGCGCGATTTTATACTCCCGTATGTAAAGCCCGTGTGAAAGAATGTATTCTGTTCCGTCAAGTTCGCCTCCACTTCGAGTCGACAAGTTTTATGCCCGGAAAACTGCACAC